GATACTTTTTAAGCCTGGCCACTTGGAGAGATGAAAGATTTTCACAGCAAAGATAGAACCAGAATGTTTTCTAAGTACACCAGTTTAATTCTTTTCAAAAATTGTTACCTAGGATCTTCTTGTCCATTTGGTAGAATTATGTTTTTCCCAGAAAGAGAACTGAGAGGCTTTATGACAGCCCAAGTCTACACACTGGCTGTGATTCTACAGTGACCACTTGAGCTATCAGAGACATGTTCTTCAGGGATGGGACTAAGGGCTAGTGGATCCCAGTGAACAGACATTTACATGCTAGCATCCTTAACTTTACTCATCTCTAACTGTGAGTCACCGTCCTCTGCACCTGTGCTGTTGTGCCCGAGCCCCCCGTCTCTGCATTTCCCTGAGAAGACTGCTCAAGGGGAAATCCAAACTTAGGTGGTAGGCTGCCGAGTTTGTCTCCTTGTTCCTGTTTTGATTCTTGTTCCTGTTTTTATTCCTGTTCCTGTTTGTGTTCCTGTTTTGTGGGGAGTATAAAAGGGAGCTATGCAGGTAAAAATATAGCATTTGGTTCTTTACCAGATGACTCCTTGTCTTTCTTTCTCTCGCCCTCAGCCCTCGGCCGATCCAAGGAACTCAGTCAGCTATGCTGGCGTAGCTGACATCTAACAGCCTGGCTAGCAGACTGCTTATCTTTTGGGTGTCCTTGGGTAAGGAGAAGTATTCCCTTAGCTAAATTCTACTTTGTGTGATTTAGTGTCTCCTAAGAAAACCTATTTGTGAGGCTAGACAGGTGGGTCAGTGGTTAAGAATACTGGCTCCTCTTCTGGAGGACCTGAGTTTGATTCTCAGCATCCACATGGTGGCTCACAGTCATCTGATAATCCAGTGATAGGGGATGTGATGCCTTTTTCTGGCTTCTGTTGGTGCCAGGCACACATGGTGTACAGTCATATATGCAGACTACACACTCATACACATAAAATAAACAAGAAAATCTATTAACATCAATTCTATTACTTTGAGCTTCTTCTACATCATATGGACATATTTATACAAACAAATAAATGCATGTATATACATCTCTAATTTTAAATCTAGAGTCTGCATATGAGAGACAACCTGATATTTGTTTCTCTGAGTCTGACTTATTTCACTAAATATATGGACTCTGGTTCTATTCATTTTTCTGCAAATATTATTTGTTCATAGATGAACATAACTTCATTGTGTATATGCAGGGTGTTGAGCATGATTTGTTTTTGTCTCTTCTGAGTAGTGTTGTAAAGCTGTGCATGTGATGGTTGTATCATATTTCATCATATATAGACAGCCCATGATTGTCTGCTACACAGGATAGTATATCACCTATTACATTGCATTAGGCATAACGAGTTAAATGAAGATAATGAATACACTGAAGGCTTTTTGTGTGCCGTCAAGCCCTACTTTACTTTATATACAGGCATGGGCACCCCTGAACTTTTGTTGGGACCTGGTAGAGAAGGAAGCAGTACCTTGTGGATACTGAATTATGACTATATGTCTCTGTATAGCTTTAGTTTTTGAAATTCTTAATATTTTACTATAGAAGAATTGAGAGGCAAACCAATAATTCTAGCATAGTAATAAATGTCAAGGTTTTTAAAATTGAAGTACTATTTTTAAATAAGGATAGGCGATTTTAACATTTTTAAGGGAATTTTTATTTAAGAAATTCTGGGGCTTAAAAAATATTTTAAGCTTTTTATCTAGGTTAATAAATTGTATATATATACACATTTATAATTATATAAATTATATATAACTATAATTATATATATATACACATTTTAATAGATTCAAATTTTTATTTTGCTTCAGGTTTTAAATTCATATAAAATTAAAGGGGAACTAGCAACATTAAAAACTGTTATTCCTTAAATATTAATAGTTTTATGTTCATATCATATAAAGTTAATCAAAGGAGATTAAACAAGATAGCTCTTGTTTGTAGTGAAAGCCTGTGTTCAAGCAATGAAATTTAGCTAGAAAGGTGAAAACAACAGTGCACAGCAGAGTGGAGACTGTGTGGGGAGCATATGGATTCTTGGGCTTGATCCGTAGAGCCTGTGTGAGTCCATGTGGAATTATCTGCATGAATCTCAGAAACACAGAAGTTAGGGAACTTTGATTTTGTTGTAATTCAGCATGGTTCAGAGTTTGGGTCCTGCTCACTGAATGGCAGTATACTGTCTCTTTGCAGGACTGTATGGATCATGTTTATTAACATTAGCTATTAATATCAAATTTATCTGTCCTATTTAGATATATTAGGTATCCTTCTGACTATAATTTGGTTGCTGTCTCTGTATTGGGCTGTGATAAGAAAGCTATAAACTGGGTGACTTGCAAGCAACAGAATTTCAGGAGATTGAGAAATGGAAAACTGTAGTGCCAGCAGCTGGGTGTTTGCTGAGGTCTAACTTCCTGCTCTGCAGATGGCATCCTCTCTTTGTGTATTTATATGGTGGGAAGAGCAAACATGCACCTAAGGACCCATGTGTCCTGTAATGAGTGCTCCATCTTTGTCACCTCTCAGACAGCCCTATTCTGTCACCTTAAAGATTAGTATTTCAACATGAATTTGGACAGGCATATAACACTGAGATCAATTCAGCTTCCTAGATAATTATTCTAAAGAAATAGTGCCCTGCTGTGCTCATGCTGTCATTGGGGTTCAGTTCACAGAGTTTGCTGTAAACTGATACTGTGTCTCTGGGATCAGTATTTCTGAATTTAGCTGCCATGTCTCTTCCCTCCTCCTGACTCTCTGTGTTCATTTCACATCTGCTTTCAGGCTTGGCAAAGCTGATGGAATTAAGCCCTTGATCAGTAATGTCATTGAGGTAATTGTTGGGAGGCAGTGGATCTCAGTGCAGCTACTTCCTCCTGTTCTTGGAGAGGAACTTCTCTAGAGTTGGTACTCACTGGCTAACCCGGTTTCCCATGTTCTGCATTCCTACTCCAGGTTCTTCCATTCTCACTAACCTTCCCTCTGTCACAGCCACTGCTCTATTGCTGTGAAGAGATAGCATGGCCACAGCAACTCTTATCAAAGAAGACATTTACTTGAAGGCTTGCTTACAGCTTCAGGGGTTAATCCATTTTCATCTTGGGTTATAGAAAAAAATACAATAGAGACCACAAGGCAGGAACCATGAAGCTACATGAGAGGTCAGAAAGGGTGACAGCATCAATAGTCTTTTCTTTCTAAAAGTTTGATTGTAAGGAGATAAGGACATAGCTACATACTGAACAACAGCAAACCTGGAACCTTGGTGCATATCTGAAACCACAGCAGATGGGAGGCTGAGACAAGTTCTAGGCCAGTCTTGGACGCTGTCTTGAATAAAATTAAACAAACAAAACAACTACTGACATTCATATAAAAGTAGATGTTTTATTTTTGGCTCTAATTTTAGTCTTTTGAGACAGCATCTTACTGTATAATTTTGGCTATCTAAAAACATGTAGCTCAGGCAAAACTCAAACTCAAGATCCTCCTGCCTCACCCTTCTAAGTACTGGATTATAGGCTTAGCAGTTATAAAGAGTTCCAATAGCAGATTAGTTTTACTTCTTACTTGGGAGAAACTTTAGTATCTTTCCTCTTGGAAAGGGAAAGCCTAAGATTCACATGTACAAAAGAGCACAGCCCCAAATAACGCAGCTACAACACAACCCCTACACCTAAGACTCAGGGAAATCACAGAACAGGAGGTAGAATGATTCTAAGAGCCAGACAACCAGGAAACCTGCTACTAGACGGTATCTTAGAGACACAACAGAGAATCTGCATCCATAAACTCTCAACAATAATGCTGCCTAAACAAGACCTGCATTGTGACAATGCCATTGTCATGACAATGTGGAAATGGGAAATTAAATATGTCCCTAGTCCTAGATAACCACTGGCTGTTGAGAAGGGAGAATCAATTTTCTCCAGGAATGAGCTCTCGAACAGGTTATCCAATTACAAATGGCAAGCATTAAATTCATGTCCATAGGAGCAACGGTAAGTGGATTCAATAGGTTTGAATGCACACATGTAAGCATGTGTACATGCACTCACACAACAACGTTGCATATAGCAATAATAATTAGAGGTCATAAATGTGAGAGGGAGGAGACAATTGAGTTAGAAGGAGGCAAAGGGGGATGATACAAATATAGAACTACTGTTGAAATTCTAGAATTTAAAAAAAATGTAAATCATCAGAAACTGCCCTCCTGCAGACTAGACCCAAGCACTGAGGTAACAATGCACATCACCCACACTCACAAGAGCAGCCCTATCAACAGCCATCCTAAGGCCTCACCCGACCATTCAACTATTGGATACTGATGGAATCTGGGATAGAAGAAGTCACTGTCTTTACTTGTATACCCACTAAGTGCACAACCTTCAAATAGACAGCTTCAAACACATGGCCACACACACCACCCTGATTAATCTGTTAGTCCCAAAGCAAAACCAAGACATGAATTTGAGAAAAAGATTGGTGAAAAGGAGCTGGAAATGAGTAATCAGTATGCATTGTATATATGTACGAGTTGTCGAAGAACAAATTTAATTAATATAAACTACTAGGATAAAATAAACACTAGTTTATGATCTTTAACAAATTCATCAAACTGTTTCATCATCTCTATAAAATGTAAAAACAGTACTACTAATCTTACTATATTATTGAAATACACCTCAGAGAACACTGGAATGCCCCACAGGGCACTGTGTTTGTGTGTGTGTGTGTGAGTGTGTGTGTCTGTGTATCACATAAAAATGTATTTTACTTATGTTATACAGTAGAAACCTTGGGTGTATTTCAGAATTAAATACATAAAGATATGTTGTTTCCCTGTACTTGAACATGTTCTACTCTGCAACATGATCCTTCATGATAAAATTCACCTACGTCTCACCTTGAATCTAAAACTGAATGTGCATTTCTATCCCAACAGACTCTTCACACTTATTACCTGGGTCTCCACACCTTGCTCCAGCAGACGCTTGGCTTGATTTTCCACTTCAAGTCGAGCTCTTGCAATAAAGAGTAGATCATTTTCTATTACTTCTATTCCAGAAAGATCTATTCCTTGAGAGAGATAATCTATTAAAAAAATAAAATTTAATAGTCAGGAGCAAGTAAGAATTAAAGAATCAAAACTACACATATAACTTCTTCAAAAACACTATGGATTTGCTAAACTCAACTCATCCCCTCCCACCTTCTCTCATTGGTTTTTTGAGATAGAGTTTCTCTGTGTAGCCCTGGATATCCTGGATCTCCATCTGTAGACCAGGCAGTCCTGGAACTCACAGAGATTTGCCTGCCTCTGCCTCCCAAGCACTTCCTCCACCACCACCAGGATCCTTTTAAAAACTTACATTCTAAAACATGACAATTTCCAAATATCTTCAATTTAATCCTTCCTCTGCCTCCCAAATGCTGGGACTGCATCTCTGTGTAACAGCCCCGGATTCTATTTTACGTAACTATCCTGATAGTCACAGAAAATTCTCAAGCTCCACCTACAGTTTCAAAAATTGTTCTGTATAGCAAAACATTTGAAACAAATAATTCACAAATTACCTTAGCATTTACCATTTACATGACTATACAGACCTGAACATTATGCTACCAAATGAAAAAAAAAAAGTGGACTAACTAGTACACACAAACTTTCACAATAAGAATTATTGTAACAATACAAGATTACAAAATTGTGAGCCCAGTCAATAAAGTGCTTACTGTCACATCCTCTGTCCTCACATACAAAGCTACGTATGGTGGCACATACTTATAATTCTAGTGCTGCAGAGGCAAGACAGGAAGCTCCCTAGAGCAACCTGGCTAGGAAAGTCCAGCCTAAAGCACAAGCCACATGGCCTCCGTGAGAGATCATGTCGCAAAAGCCAGGGAGAATGGCTAGTAATAAATGACTCAAGGTTCACCTTTACCGGTACACTCTAATATATGTGTGTACCTTACACAGGAATGCATACACAGACATGAAACGACTTTGTAGCAGGAGCATAGTCCAAGACTGTCAACTCCATACTCAGGAGGCTGTGCCAAAGATATTGGAATGTCCAGGATAGTTTAGGCTACAGAGCAAGAGCCTGTCCAAAAGAGCCAAGAACAAGCAAACAGGAGGAGGAGAAGGAAGAAGAGGAGGCAGAGGGGATAGAGGTGGGAAGGAGGTAGGGGGTGGTAGTCATGGTTATATAGTTGTCTCTGTGTGTTCAGAGTTTGGATAATTTTAAAAATTGTGTGATTCCTTTTATTTTGATTACTATTGGATATTTCTAAAATAATTAAAATGCTTAAGGATGAAGGTTGAGGTTTAATTAGTTTAAATACAATTCTGTAGTTTTTAAAATATTTTATCAAGGCAAATTCTCCCTTCTTCCCCACTCCTTTTCCTCCCAGTTTTAAGATAGGGCCTCACCATGTTGTCTAGGCTAGCCTGGAGCTCTATTTAAACCAGACTGGCTTTGAACTGAGAGATCCACCTGTCTCTGGGAAGCAAGGGCTGAGATTAAATAAAGGTGTATGTCACTACACCCAGTCCTTCAAGGCATTATTTCTAAAACATTACATTTAATTAGAAAGATGGCTTCAACTTGCCAGTTAATAGAATATCAAGTACATTTTCATTTAATTAAAATTTTGTCTTCAATCTTATTAAAACATAACATTAAGTATGACTACAGCATACTTCAGTTAGGTTGTAACATATCAACCAGGTCAAACTATATTAAAGCATCCAATACAATACAGTACAATGTGATGACTGAACACTATATAATTAATTCCACACCAGAACATATACAGTGTAGTTATAATGTATGATTGCCCACTGTACTTCACCTCAGCGTGTTCTTTTTCTTCTCTGTTTTCCCCACCCCCACCTCCAAGACAGTGTTTCTCTGTGTAACAGCCCTGGCTGTCCTGGAACTTTGTAGACCAGGAGGCTTCAAACTCACAAAGACCTGCCTGCCTCTGCTTGCTGAGTGCTGGGACTGAAATCATGAGCTGCCAAGCTTGGCCATAGTGTGTTCTTCTTGGACATGTAGATCCAAAAGGGCATAACAAGGCTTACCACAATAAATGACTACTGAAAATACCTTCAAATCATCTGAACTCAAGTTTGCCTGAAACTTACTAGGTAATTACAGACAAATGATACACTCATTGAGCTTGAGGGAGTTTTGGATGAAAACTGGCAACAATACATACTTCATGCCCTAAGTGCTCTGTAAATTACCATCAGAATCAAAACATAGTAGTGAATGTCAAACTATGTTACATACCATTCCGCTCAGCTGTTAGTATAAATTGTAATATTCAGGGAATAAAAACAGGATCTCTTCTCTGTTTACTTGAGTGCGTGCTGAGTATGTACCCAGTCTTCCACATACGTTTGTAAGCATCCATCACTGAGCTACATCCACAGTCCTACATGTTTTCACTTAAAATTTAATTTTCTGAGAATTCTTTCTGAAGATCTTTAGATTCAAAAGATAGATATTACTTTTCCAATTTGTTATCTAAAAATATAAGCATAAAAATCCTGCTATGGAACTGAATTTAGCCAAGCTAGAATAATAATAGTAGTAAATGTTAATATTCTAAATTTAGTAAAAAAGTAAACAACTAGACACTTATGAAATGTCAGATTTTATAATTGTAGGTTGAGAGTGCAGTGAAACCAGAGAATTGAACTACTCCATGAGTGAAAAAAACCTCATGTTTGGGGGGGTCAAACAACCAAGGCTATCTGTGGGATGGGGGTTATAATAGTAGAAAAGGGAGCAGACTCCCTCACTTGAGGGTGGGGTCTTTGAGCTGATACAGCACTCTCACATGGGAGCTATTTCTGGATATAACAGAAATAGGCAGCACTGCTAACAGTCTGACCATAGACATTATTACTAAATGAAACAGAATTTACACTACTATGTGCTGAATTTCCTCCAGTGGCATAATGCACAAGATTAAGTTGATCTACTTGGGTTTAATGTATTTTCACCATCTTCTTAGACGTGAAAATTGATGAAACTAGTGCTATTAGTGAGAATCTACCTTTATTTAATTGTGAAAACTAATAAACTACAAAAAAAATCCAATCAAAGCCCAGACACACACATTAAGAGAATAGATAGTAATAATGGACATAAAAGCTTTATTTCAAATAATATACAATTTACTAAAAAAAATTAAGATACTAAGAAATGAATTCTGTCTTCTTCCATCATCGTCAGGTTTCAAGGACTGCTGCCTATGTTATTTCACTGGTTCCCTAATTTCTTTGTATTCTTTAGCTTTCAATCTAAATTAGAATTCAAGAAAAAAATATAAAGATAAGGTAAGTGGAATAAAAAAAAATCTACACTTTCAATCAGTGATTTTGCAGCTACTGATAAAAATAACACTAAAAAGAAAAAAGTGAATACATTTGGGCATAAGGTATTTATCACAATGTTAATTATAAAATTGACATACATATGTATGTCTATATGCATCATGTTCAAGTAAAATGTGTATGCATATTTTCAAGTATATATGTGAACATTTTAAAGTAAAAGCAATTTGGAATTATCATAATAATGTTCCAAACAAGTATCTCTAGGGCCAAAATATTACATTTGGCTGTATTCAACATGTGCCTGTGTGTGCATGAGTGTGTGTGGGGGGTGTGTGTATGTGTATTAGTGAACATGTACAGGAATGCTCATGTAGCACTATTGAGTACAAAACTGAAAGTCTACACCATCAACAGAACAAATAAAAAAAGCATAATACAGTCATTGAAAATAGTACTATAGATGAAACATTTGCTTAAAACTAAAATATATCTTATAGGGCCTTAAATAAAGATTTCAAAGAATAAACACATCAAGGATTGGTTGAGAGTCTGAACAGGTTAACAATGTATTATTTGACATGTGAGCATCTCAAAAGAAGCAGATGGGTAACATAGTGTGTTTCTAGTAAGACATCCATAAATTTGGTAGGCAGTTTTAAATGTTATACATTTTAAAACATAAAAAAGTGGCATTTTAATACTTTTCTTTTAAGTATCATACCTTTATTATATAAGTACTCTCAAATTATTAGAACTGAATTTTAAATGTTCAAAACCCAAAGGCTGAATCCATTCAGCCAAGGCCTAGGTAAGAGGAGCACACCTAGAGGAAGGTCTGCAGGTCCAGCTGGCACCCTCAGTCTCTCACACAGTATGAGGGGACTATATCCTTTCAAAGAAAGAGTCAATGCAAAGGTATTAACTGCCAACAAGATAAAGCCTATATAAATACCAAGCTCATCAAGAAATTGTATGAGGTCACAGAACTAGTTAAAAAAAGAAAATAAAAAAGAAATTACATAACACCATGATACAGAGCAGGCACTGAGAAGAGGATAGGGGGATTTGCACGGGTATGACTGAATCCCCAACACTCTCAACCAGCACCAAAATAGCACAGAGCCTCCCCTGGGTGTTTATGTGAGAAAAAGCAGAGGAATAAAAACTGACACAGAGACTGGGCAGCTGGCTATAGTCACCAATCAACAAAAATCGCTTCTTCCCACGCGTTTACTTTTCAAAGAGCATCATTCAAATGCATCCTCAGAAAACGCACAAGTAATCTTCAGATGCTCTGAAAGGTAGACGATATAGACTGGGCATTTCCTTCTACAGTTAACCTCTTTTTCTGTTTTAGACATACCTGTCTTAGTCAAGGTTGCTATTGCTAATGCAAAACACCATGGCCAAAAAACAAGCTCGGGAGGAAAGGGTTTATTCAGCTTGTATTTCCACATTGCTGTTCATCATCAAAAGAAGTCAGATAGGAACTCAAATAGTGCAGGAGCCTCAAAGCAGGAGCTGATGTAGAGGCCACAGAGGGGTGCTACTTACTGGTTTGCTTCCCATGGCTTGTTCAGCCTGCTTTCTTATAGAACTATAGAAATCTAAAATCACCAGCCCAGGAACAGCCCAAAATGGGCTGGGCCATCCCCACTGATCACTAGTTGAGAAGAAGTCTTTCAGCTGGATCTCAATGCAGGCATTTCTCAACTGAGGCTCCTTCCCCTCTCTTGAC